TTTTTAATCGATATATATCGATTAACTGCTATATATCGATATATATCTGCTTAAAAATTTTGCTGATGATAGCTAATTAGAACCTAATAGATAGAAAGTTATAAAATATTAATAAAGAAAACACAAGTTAGAGATATTAGTATTTTTAGAGAGTTCTTTTTTATACCAGATACACTTTAAAAAAATACTTATTTGTATCAGTTACATTTTCACATTTTCTTGTTTTGTATATGTAATAAATTGGTTTTTTTGATTATAACTAGTAGTCAAATTGGCAGAGCAATAGTAAAGTCTTTCTCTTGTCATAATAATATCTCTTTGTTTGTTCGATTAACTAGCGTTGTCAACTTAATTAAATAATTTTTGTATTATAGAATCTAAAATCTAAAAAAAAAGCTAATAGTATCATGTAATATATATAATTATTTGAATGTATAATAAAATATTTATGTATTAAATATGAATCAACAAGATTCGCGTTAAAGAGGATGTAGATGCAGCAAGTAATTTATTAAATAAGATAATTGTGAGCTATAAGATATTAAAATATTTTAAGATATATATGATTATAGTATATATAGAACAATAGTAAATTAAAGATTTTGATAGCTATTTATTTGGTAGTGTAGTAGTAGTATTTAATATAATAATTTTAGATAATTAAGAAAAGAAAGTAATGCAAAAAGATGAAAGTAGTAGTTAGGTGGTGTAAAAGTAAAAACAGCTTCAGAGTTACAAAAATATAAGTCTCACAGATATTAACGTATACTAATACTATCTAAAAAACTACCCTAAAAACTAAAATCTAGTATTAACAGGCTACAGAAGATTTGATTCAAATAATTAGAGCCAAATAAAATCTATATTATATTATGAGATACTAATTTGGGATTAGACTTTTATATATTTGGGAGGAGAATTAGAACTAGGGTTGCAAAAAATACTATACCGCATAATAACATTGGTTAATACGTATGTTTCAACTGTTATCTGAAAAATGCTAAATTAGGCTTTTTTAACTTTATGTCTCAGTACGAATAATGATATTGTAACTTTGTTTATATATATGTATATGCAAATCATCCAAAGAAATCAAAAATTGTAACTTCTCAATGAAACAATGCAAAAATGAAAGCGTAATAAAACATGATATTTACATATTCTCTTATAACTTAAAAATCTGCATACGTAGAATCCACCTTCTCAGTAAACACCTAACCTTATCATAATCAATAAACACTATTACGTGCCCATAACTTTTTGGTGCTGACACTGGTGAACACAGTAAAATGCATTAAATCTCTTCAAAGATATGATTTTATATGGCAATTTTTATTTGTGCATGGGATGTATATGTTATAAATAGATTTACTGTTACTTAAAAATATATTTGGATTAAAAATTCTTTCAACTACAGAGTTGGGAACTGCTATTTAATGACTACGTATGTGTTGCAATTTGAAATGCCTATTGGAATGCTATAAGGTATACCACTGGGACCAATAGAATATAGAAAGTTTGAAGTTGATCAAGACAAATTATTAATGTACGAAAAATCGCAAGAATATAGTACTATAAACGGCACAAAATTGATTGTAAGATAAATGAAAAAAAAAATCTTATGGATGTAGATGGTGGAAGCGAGTGTTGTCTTCGTAATACTAAGCGTAAAAGTTGAGAGCATACTTAATGTTATAACGATAATAAAATCCTATTTCTATTTAAGTTGTTTTGTGATTCGAAATTCACTACAACACATATATGAGTGTCACTAAAAGAAAACCTGAAATTTTAAATATTACTTATATTTAAATTTTCGGGTTTTCTTTAGCGACACTCATATTGTAAGCGGGATTTGGAATTTTGTTGATTCGAAATACACTTAAGTGGATTTCGTGTCACTAGAATCTATAATTCAACGAATTAATTTCGGATTGCATTTTAACGATAACTTGTTATATAAGATGGATTAATTTAATTTTTGAGTTTAATATCATAAATGAATCACGTAGTATCCTGAGCATTTATCAGGAAATTGTCAAGAAAAACTTTCGATCGAAATAAAAATTGTATATGAAGAATATAACGACTAATTTTGGTTAAATTTGGGTTGTCATATAAAAAAAGTTATTGTTATGCTTGCTATAAGAAAAAAGATTTATTTATATAACATACCCTAATTTATTTTTTCGAGTTATGAATAATAATTATTGCTTAAATTTTAAAATGCAAAATAACTATTTATAATCAGGATATTTTAGCAATAATATATGTTTTTTCAACTCTAATACATTCTTTATTTCTATATTATTTGATTACAGGATTATAAAGCATTCTTGATAAAATCGGACTGTTTTTAAATAAATCAAAGATTTTACGTAACCTATATTTATATACCTCATCCTCCTCATCACATGGAACATCCATTTCTTCTATATCAACATGGAGGTCTGCTGAAATCATTTCAACTAATTATTATTTTTTTTTTTACTAATTAATTGTCGCGGCTAAAGCTTGAAAGCTGAAACTTGAAAGCTAAAAGTTGAAATTAGGAACTTCGATTTAGACATCGTCAGATAGTGGTATAAGAGGTATGGGTTCATCAATTGAATCCCATAGCCCCTCTTGCATAAGGTCATGCATTATTGAGGAATTCTTTCTGCTCAATTCCTCGACGTCCAGAATTCCCGATAGCAATAATTCGTCGAAATCACTCGAGCTATTGCTTTCACAACATTACTTACATTTTCATGTTGCAACTAATTTAAATGGGGTGTCTCCAATTAAAACAGCCCATATTTACATTTTTAAAAAAAAACGAGTTTTTATTAAATTCATGTATATT